GGTGCACCATATTTCGTGGTTTCCAAAGCTTGGCCCTCTATTCATGACTTCAGGTCACTGCTCGCTCTGGAGTCAGGATAGAGACTCTGAAATGCCTTTTTTGGGGCACTGATCAATCAGGGAAGACAGTGTTTGTTGAATAAAAAAGTTTGTTCCTATAGCCAGATGCTTACTCATAGCTGTGAAGTGATGTTTTGAAGAACCATAGATTGGTTATGGAGCCAACTATTTGTCTTTTAAAAGTTGTTAAGCGGGCCGAGCGGTGGTGGCGCACGCCTTTAATCCCAGCACTCGGGAGGCAGAGGCAGGTGGATCTTTGTGAGTTCGAGGCCAGCCTGGTCTGCAAGAGCTAGTTCCAGGACAGGCACCAAAGCTACAAAGAAACCTTGCCTCAAAATACCAAAAAAAAAAAAAAAAGGTTGTTAAGCCTGTTGGAGCGAAGACCCACTGGAGCAGAAAAGCCCTGCCTTTGGTTAGTAATGCTCTCGAGTGATCTGCGGATACTAGAGGTTGGTGGCTCCTTTGTCAGAGCTTCTTACTCTCCTAGTTCATGGAGCCTTTAGTCTGGTGAGGCTGTATGTTTCTCTGTGGAATTAGTAGGTCCCGCAGAAAAGCATTGGTGAACCTGTCCTGGCGGTTAGTCAAACTCAGCGCAGTCAGTGGCATTGAGTAAACACAAAATAACTTGTGGATGTCTATTTTGTTTCATTTTTGAGCATCCTGTGCTTTTGAAATCTCTGCTTATTACATGTTAAGGCATGTCACTGATAGACATATTTAGAATATCATAATTGTGATGGAAAAAAATCTGTGACTCAAGCTTCTTTGTTGGGGAGTCAGCTCAAAATGGAGTTGGAAGCAGCAGTTTGTAATGTCAACTTCCTTTCTTCACTAGGTGAGATCTAGAACCGTCGCTGAATGTGTTGCCTTCTACTACATGTGGAAGAAATCAGAACGCTACGATTACTTTGCTCAACAGACAAAATTTGGAAAGAAACGCTATAACCATCACCCTGGAGTTACGTAAGTATAGTGGGTTTGACTTGAGTGGTTGCTATTTTTAGCTCTGATGCACAGTCAAGATTATTGAAGGTTATTGGTGTGTGTTTCAGGGACTATATGGATCGTCTTGTAGATGAAACAGAGTCTCTGGGTGGTACAGTAAATTCTTCAGCCTTAACTTCTAACCGGCCTGAACCCATTCCTGATCAGCAGCTGAACATTCTCAGTTCCTTCACTGCCAGTGATTTGACAGGTAAAATGAGATCCTTGTGTGCCGTGTGCTACAAGTCCTTTGTCTGTGTGACACATGAGGTCACTCACTTCAGCTACTCTCCATTTCTTTTTAGCTTTGACCAACAGTGTAGCAACTGTCTGCAACCCCACAGATGTGAACTGTCTGGATGATAGCTTTCCTCCACTGGGAAACATACCCCGTGGACAAGTCAATCATGTGCCTGTTGTAACGGAAGAGTTACTCACCCTGCCCAGCAATGGTGAAAGTGATTGTTTTAATTTATTTGAGACTGGATTTTATCACTCAGAGCTAAACCCTATGTGCAGCGAAGAATCAGAAAGACCTGCAAAGAGATTGAAAATGGGCATTGCTGTCCCTGAATCCTTTATGAATGAGGTTTCTGTAAATAATTTGGGTGTAGACTTTGAAAATCACACACATCACATCACCAGTGCCAAAATGGCTGTCTCTGTGGCTGACTTTGGCAGTTTGTCTGCCAGTGAGACCAATGGATTCATCAGTGCCCACACGATGCATCAGCACGCCGCCCTTCATTCAGAGTGACACGGATGAGAAGCCCAGAGACAGTGGGTGTGCAGTACCAGTGACCTTGAGGGAGCTGTCAGGTGTGCATAGTCTTTCACTGGAAGTTTGACTTTCTCACTATGACATCAGTGATGTCAGTATGTATAGAACTATATCTTGATTTATCAAGAGTATTTTCATTTTTCAATCCATAAATGTGGAAATGAACTATGATCAGCAGAGTTGGGAACTAAGATTGAACTCTGTGGTGCAGCTTTAAGCTCTGCTTCTCTTCCTCATCCCTTAATACCTCTTCCACTTCCTCCTTCTTTTCTGTTCCCTTTTCCCTCACTCCCAGTTTTAAAACCTGTAGACAGAGGCCACCAGCTCAAAACCAGCACAGATGTTCTGAACTGATGTGTGGCTTCTCTTCATGTAAATTCCTTTTGCCGTAATGGATGCAGTGGAATAACAATGTTTACAGGTACCAACCCCAATCCCTGCTCTATGTAGCTTTTTTTTTTTTTTGGTTTTATTTTCTTTGTTAATAAAAGCAGGGGTAGGTTTCTTTAAACTGCACAAACATGCAAGGATTTTTTTAAATGGAAACTTCTCTCATGTTATTCAACTAGAGCACTTCAGTTTACAAAGCAGCAAGACCATCTGTCTGGAAGCCAGCACGAGGGACTGCGTGCAAATGAGGAAGACTCTTGCTTGGATCCTGTTTCAAAATTCTAGACCAGGGCTACCTTACACAGAATTGGTCATTTTACTGCCGGGAGACTTCTGTGTAATTTCCTTTTCTTTTTTTTCTTTCTTTTAATTTTATTTTTTGACTAAAAATTTGGCATTTGAAGATGTGTTCGTATGGGGTTTTGTCCACCATTGTCAAGATTGCAATATTAAAAATCATACTGGTCACTGATAATTTAGTATATTCTGAAGCAGTTGACTTGCAGAAGCAGTCTACAAAGTCCAGGATGTTCCACTCTGGTTTCTGCTTGGAACACCTCTTAAGTTTGGAGCACTGCAGTTCAGGTTTAATACTTAGACTTGTAGATGGTATGCATAATGCAGAACCTTGAAGTACATTTAAGCTATTTTGTTTAGCTTGAATAGTTGGCAAGAAAAAACTGAGTTTCTATCTGAAATCGAATGGTACGCTACCACTTTTAAGAAGTGACAGGTGTTCATACCCATCTCAAATGCCATTTTACTTTTATTCCAGACGTGAATAAGAAGCCATTGTCATAAGCTTTGACCATTTTTGCTTTATTAGACATGCTCCTTTAAGTTTTAAGGTGAATCAACTATACAATACAGTATTAGGATATAATAAGCTTTGCTTTTCTAGCACAGTTAAAGCAATTACTTTTTGCACCGTCTTAATTAGAAATTTTGATCTTATTACTAGTTGTGTTGCTTTGCAAAAAACCTTACCATTTGACTGTGTTGCTGTTTGCAAGTGTAAGTCGCTTCAAGGTTGTGCTGCTGACTAGATAGGATGTAGTGGTCTTAGTGCTGGAGGGGAGGGTATTTATTATACAAACTGTGAACTGCAATGACATCCGTAGTGTCGGATGCTATGTATTATGTTTCTTTGCAGCATTTTAATGAAGATTGCTTTGAAGTGTTTATGCAGTAGCACATTGACTATAACATTTAGTTTAGCACAGAGGACAAAGGGTAGTTAAATTAATAACTTAAATCAGTCTCTAACTTATACATCTAAAATCCTGTATGCACACAGTAAATAATGGGTAGCCTGGGCTCTATGTTGCTTTCTGATATTTTTATCCAAGTGGTTAGCTTCTTATTGCTGTGTTGTGCTAAACTTTGAACCTTATTTTTTTTGTTCCCGTTAGTGTACTTTCTTTAATGTAGGAGGATACTGGGCATACTCTTCCATTGTTAGAACTTTAATTTTCACTCTGGGTTTACAGTGGCTGGTCTGTATAAATAATTTACACAAAGATGACTGAATGCTAGAACCAGTTGCACTTAAATGAAGATGCCCATTCTCGTTAGCTGATGCAGTAATATATCCAGTTTATCTATGCATTGCTGGGGTCTTGATACAAGATGGAAACAGTGTTTCTTATCTAGAGTTCTGATTATCAGCAAGTTGAATGGACACTTTAGTTATTTAAATAGATTTTTGACCAAAATCCAGAAAATGATATGAGAGAAAAATAAATTCCAGCTAGTTTAACAGATTTTTAAATGCTAACCTGATTTTAGCCTCTTAGAGAGTGCTACCTAGCTGGTAACGTTTACTTTTAATTCCTTGTTAAAATGAGGCAATAATTTGCAAGATTTTTGTATATATGTGTAAAGTAAATTCTTCATATCTTTTTAGATCTAATTCAATATTTTCTGACTACTCCTGCCATGTATAATACCATTTTTGTGCATGCTTGATGTGACATTCATAAATTGTACCACTATGACTTTATCCATGTAAAATAGCTATTTATTGAATTTTCTTTCAACGGCTGGATTTTTTTTGTCTCCATTTAAACATCTTAACAGAATTTGTTACTGTTTATTAAAAGAATTGAGTTTGAAAGCATAAGAAAAATCTGATTTGCAGTTGTATGAAGAAAAAACAATGCCTTTATTATCACGCATTAAGCACAATTCTTATAGCAAACTGTGATAAATTCTTTGTTTTTTTTTTCATTTGCCGCAATATTTTCATATGAACAAACCAAAAATTCATGGTGAGCAGTTGCAGTGTCGGCTGATCCATCCTTTGTGTACAGGGAACTCGGGAGGACGTGGACTCATTCAGAAGTGTGACTGGTGCTGTGACTATAGCAATACTTTACTTTTGTTAGTTGTGCTTCTTGCTCATGCTAGCTTTTCAAATGTTTAGTTTTCCTCTTGTCACGGTCAACTGCTGAATTTACTTGAAGGATGTAGAATACTGTTTAAAAAATACTAAAGTCTGTACAATTAGGTCAAAGAATTGTGCAATTGTTTCCTTTTTAATTTTTGAAATTGAAGGTCATAACTATTTGAGAACATCAGACCTAATAGAGCAGTAGTACTATTTAATTTAACCAAAGTCTAGTAAATATTTCAACTTTGAATGTAAACTAACAAACCCGACCACCAAGGAGCTTGTTTGCCCAGAGTTTCAGAGCACATTGTCTACGAATGGAAATTGAAATAATTTATAAAATATTGACATTACTATGTTTTTTAAAAAGTTCCTAATTTTTTCACTAAAAGGAGGGAAACTATTAGTTTTATTGTTAAATATGGTAGATATTAATATTCCTCTTAGATGACCAGTGATTCCAATTGTCCCAGTTTGAAATAAGTACCCTGTGAGTATGAGATAAATTAGTGACAATCAGAACAAGTTTTAGTATCCAATGTTCAAGAGGAAGTTGCTATTGTTGCATTGATTTTAATATTTGTACATAAACACTGATTTTTTGAGCATTATTTTGTATTTGTTGTACTTTAATACCTGGTGTACAGTTCCAGAAATAAAAATCTGGAAATCTGTTTTTCCTGGTGTGTGTGACTATTTACCAAGAAATTCAAGCCACTCTTAAGCCATACCAGATAGGTAAACACTCAGCTTAAGAGAAAAAAGTCATTTTCCTAAATCATCTCTACTAGTTTTTGATCTATAATAATTCTAAAAATTCCTAAAGTGAGAATTCTCACTTAGTTCAGGAAGCAGTTAACGGAATATCTGTTCCAAACAGTCCTAGGAAACTGTATTGTGGGGAAACAGAACTGAAATATGAGCCATCGAGACTTAACAGGCTGGTATTTATGATATTACTCTTATTTATAACTTTCATAATCCCATTGCCTCTGGTCATACCTTTCTCAAGTCTTCATCCTTTCAAGCTAAAGATCTTAGCTTAAATCCTGGCATTCCCATTTCCCGTTTTACTATCCAAACTGAATGATATTCAGAGTTTACACAAAGCAAGAAAAAGTAAAAACCTTAATTAACCCTTTTGCTTTCGTTCCTTGCCTCCAAAGAGCCACATCCCTCCACCCCCAAACACCACAGTGCCTTCCTGTGACACCTGTGTGGACTATAGGCACAGAAGGCCCATGAGTACTCTAACTACTGCTAAGTACCATGTAAGCTGCACCGTGGGTGCTTCAGGCCTTGGGGGAAGGAGAAGCTTGTGGAAGCAGAAAAATCTCTAATGACTTCTAGGGATTCTGTGGCTCAAATGACTTCCCGACTTCCTTGTGTCTGGTCTAGTTGGACTGCAACATAAACATGTGCCTTCAAGTCTGAAGTGCTGTGGAGAAAATGGGGACACGAGCTAGGACTGTCAGTGGGGGAGGGGTAAAGTTTCACTAGTCAAGTATCAGAGAGGAGTCAGGCTCTTAGGTGATCTGGGGAAAGGTCTCTGCAGGTAGACATCCTGAGGCACAGTCAAGAGGTGGAGTGGGGTGCTGCATGAGTGAGCACTGGGAAACAGCATGAGATGGGAAGTTCCAGCCACATCCCCCATGTGAAGGAATCCTCATCTTCTCTAGGGTTTAGGTAAAGATATGTCAAGAAGTTAAAATACCCTCAGCTGGGTGTAGTGGTGCACACCTTTAATCCCAGCACTTGGGAGGCAGAGGCAGAGAGACCTACCTCTAAGTTTCAAAGTCAGCCTACTACAGACCTAACAGTTCCAAGACACCCAGGAATCCCTCTCCACAGAAGTATGAAACAGGAACAGGCGTCCTTGCACCAGCCTGGTCTTTAATAGTATTCCCACACTAAAACAGGCTCTAGCTCTCCTTTTTATCACCCCGGTCCCCGCTTAGAAATGTCCGGTGACTAGAGGACAGAGGATGGTGACCTATATCCAGTTGGAACAATCTGTAAATCACACGCATGAAGAAATGATCTCGAAACACCATGCCTTGGTGATACATTCTGTAAGGGGCAAGAGTGGAAAGAGAGAAGCCAATTAGAAAGCTACTAAAATTTCAATAAACGAGGCAAATGAAGCCAGTAACAGAGATGTCACAGTGGTCAAAATCCGACCCTACAGTTTTCCTAAGGGTGGAGGGAGGGGCTTAGTAAATGATATCCTGTCCAAACTGGGAAGTGAGAGTTGAAGCTCGAGTCAGGTGGATAGAGCAAAGAAACCATTGCAAGGAGAACTCTGGGGTAGAGAGCTTCAGGACTGAGTGCGCCTGGGCTGATGCGGTAGTACTTCACCTCAGAGTACAGTCATTTGATCAACACCTGGGCTGGTGGTTCTGTACAGCGTCCACAGAGAACTGGAGGGGGTGAGCCATGGGTGCCTTGCTCTCCAAAGGAACTCTGGGAGTTACTCTTCTCTGGTGGGCGGAGAAGGGTTAGGAACTTTGCCATAGGAAGCCCTCTCCACAGAAACATGAGACAGGAACAGGTGTCCCTGCTACCAGGCAACCTTGTCCCTTACCAGTATTCCCACACTAGAGAATCTTCCACTCCCTTTAATCACTCCCTTTGTAGGTGGAGGGAGGGGGAGGATGAGCCAAGAACAGTTGAGAAATTACACATACTTCGATTTACTCATAGCAGCACAATAGTTTCGTTTTTCTTCATTCTGTAAAAAAGTTTTTATAGGCGCTTGTACACATCAGCGGTACTGTAAGAACCCCTGGGGCTGGGGAAACAGCTCAGCAGTTAAGAGCAATGGCTGCTCTTCTGGGGACTAGTTTGGTTCCTAGCACCCATGTCAGGCGCACTGGGTAACACCCAACTGCCAATCAGCCCAGCTCCAAAACATCTGACACCCTCCTCTGACCTCCAGGAATTTGCTTAAATGTGTACACACACACACACAAACACGCATGTGCGCATACACACACACAGAGTAAAACCTTAAAGAACTGCTAATGTTTGGCTAAACATCCCCCACTATAGAGGTATGCAAAATAAAAACCTGAAATGATAAGTCGTTTTAATAAACTATTATAAAAACCAATTAAAAATGAAATTGCATTATAAATTTGAAATTATGAAGGAAGTAGCTTTTACCTTGGAATTGAGGCATAGATATTAACATTAACAAACACAAAAAGTCCAGTTAAGTCTAAAATATTTTGTTCTGCAAGGTGGTCCGCACAGATGTGATTAGCAAACAAATCAACAACCAAGCGTTTAGAATGAACACAATAGCTACTTTTAAAAGCCTAATTTTTAATTCACCAAATTAGCTGATAACCATGTCGTAGTTTGAAAAAAAGCTCCTGTCCTTGCTTGATGTCCCTGAGTGAAACAAGAACAACACAGTCGAGTGGGCTGAAAATGAAAAGAGCGAAAAGAAGTGGTCGGGTACCAGGGTGCGTTTGTAACCAGTGCGATTTTACCGATGCAGACTCCTAACCGGCAGCACAGGTCCTCATTTTCCATGAGGAAACAGCTCCTTCTCCCAAGGAGGATTGGGGGGGACGGCGGCTATTATAGGACCTTTTCAAAATGGCGACTCTTAAGTTTAGACCACCAAGCACATCTTTGAAAATATCACTATGGTTTCTAAAACTGGAATTACAAAAAAAAAAACAAAAACAAAAACAGATTTTTAATAATTTTAAACATTACAGCTTAACATTTATTAATATGTGTATCTGTATCATATTTTAAAAGACAAACATTTAAAATTAACTGGGATGTTTAAAAACATCATTTTTCTAGACCCAAGACACTGTTATCATATACACCTTCAAAATCCTTGTGACATCCCTGTGGAGAGCATACAGTCAGATGCTTCATTGTTAAGCACACAGACACATACATACAGGACCCAAAGATAGCAAATTTAGTATTGTTAGTATTTGGGATTTTCTGAGTGTGTTATCATGTAGCCCTGGCTGGTCTTGAACTCCTTTGCAGCTGAGGGTGACCTTGAACTCCTTAACTTAAGAAGTTCACCTTATAAGTGCTAAGATTACAGACAGGCACCACACCAGATCCTCTGCAAGAGTAACAGGTACTCTTAACTGCTCAGCCATTTCTCCAGCTCCAACAATCCAAGTTTTAAATATTCATCTTAGAAGGGTATTTTAATAGGTGTACTCCCCATACAATTCTTTAGCCACTCAGTGAAATGATGTAAAGGATATGAGCTGAGGAGTATGTAATTCTAGCACTCCAGAGGCCAAGACAGGAAGATTGCAAGGCCAGCCTAGGCTACCAAGTAAGACCCTCTTTCAAAAACAACCACAGCATAACAATGACCTGAGGGTTTTATAGAAAGGAGAACAACAACAGAATCGCTTGATATGGGCTTCAAGGCTGACACTGACAAATACTGCCCACAAGGAGAAATAGTTCCTAATAAGCAGAATAAGTCTCCGTTTTCAGATAAACCTATAGTAAAGAAATGTAGTGCTATGAACATACCTAAGTTCCATATGATTTTTTTTAAACAATCCTGGGAATCAATTATTTACCAATCCGGGTGGTAGTGGTGCACGACTTTAATCCCATCACTCAGGAGGCAAAGGCAAGTAGATCACTGAGTTTCAAAGCCAGCCTGGTCTACAAAACGAGTTCCAGAACAGCCAGGACTACAGAGAAACCCTGTCTTGAAAAACCAAAATAAAAAGAAACAACAACAACAACAAAAATCCCAGGGTCTTGAACCTACCACGCAAGCGCTCTGCCACTGACCCTCCCTATCCATCAATGTTTTACTAAAAACAAAAACAAACAAACAAAAAAACCTACCCTTAATTCTATAAAGATTTTTCTTAGAAATTTTATTTTTCAAGTGTAGTGTAACATAAAAGACAGACCTTTGTGAGAGCTGTAGGCAGTGTTTGGGAGATTTGCTTCAGGTCTACAGGGAAAACTGCAGGCACATCAAATTCCTAATAAAAGACATTAGTGGCTCTGTCTAGGAAGAGGCACATCACTGAAGAGAAAAAGTCATGACAGTCTGAGAGTAAGAAACTACTGAACTGTGATGCTTAAAGTATGGTTTTGCTAAACTTTTGGAACATATTCAAACTTACTATTATGGAGTAAAATAAACATTTAAAATAGTAAGTACATGTGTTCAGATTATACATACACCTATGTAGTAAACATACATGTTTTCCTTTGTTTGTTTGAGACAGGGTCTTATTACCTAGCCCATGTTGACCTTGAATTCATGGCCCTCCTGACTCAGCTTTCTCAGTGATGGAATAATCACCAAGCACCACCATGCTCGATGCCATAGTTTACTTTAAAATACCAGAAACTAAGGGTTCCAGATAGTCATTTGGTTAAAGATGGGAGTCAGGCTTCCTCTTCCTTTAGCCAGAGGGTTGGAGCTATACCTGTGGGAAAGTCAGGGCAATAAATGGACGACCCCCCGACTTATAAGCAGAAAGGGGATACTAGACTGATGAAGAGTCCACTAGGCTATACTGTAACACTGATATAATACTCTGGTATCATTTAAAAAATTCTAAAATAATAATGATCCCAAACTATTTTTTCTCAAACAGTTAAGCTGCTTGAGTACTGTTATTCAATTTCCTTTGTACTCAGTCACGTGGTGAAGAAGAATTAGCCATTGTAGCCTCCTGTCCAAGCCCCACCATGCCGACTTCCTGCCTGAGCAATTGTTGGCACACTGTACTACAGTCAGTGATTGTCAGTTTCTGATGCTAACCCTGTACCGTCACTCATTCTTAAAGGCTAAGTTGGTCTCTCCCAGTCTGAGATCGAGAAGAGCTGAAAGCATTAGCTGAGAGTTTTCTGTGCATTAAAGTAGAATCCAAAACATACAAAATGAATCTTACAAGTACAACTTTTTCCAAAAAGTTTTGTCTAACAATCGAGCACCTACCTACATTACCACATAGAAGCCATCAAGGTGGGTTTTCACCTAAAGCATAAATGGTTACGCCATAATCCTTAAAACAAATCCTCTACAGTGACAAATGAATTTGAATATGGATATTAATTACCTGAATACAATTTTTGATACTACTTTGTCATTTCCATCAATGAATATGCCATACAAGCACCTAAAAACAAATGGATTTCCAATGGACTGGAAAAAGATTGACACATACTTCTGATCTACCGTACCTACTATACAACAAGGCGAAGACAAAGCAACATGGGAAACTAATTATTCTGCTAAGGACATTTTAACTTATAAACCTAAAATAGGAGAGTCTGTTTTAATCCCACCATCTTTAAAAATAACTCACTAGTGTATATTAATTGTATAAAATAATGGGATATTATAACATGTATGTGTCCTTTTGTCTTTTTAAACAGTTAATTTCCAGTTTGGAACATCATGTTTTTGAGGGACTTTACCCTTTACAGGGCTTGTTTCTAACAGCTGATGAAGCACAAAGCCAACTGTCCATATAGCAGACATTATCTAATTATCTTACTTAATGATAAGACGAACAGCATACTTTAGGCTCATTTTTACAAAGTTTTTTTTAATATTTATTTATTATGTATACAATATTCTATGTGTATGCCTGCAGGCCAAAGAGGGCACCAGACCCCATTACAGATGGTTGTGAGCCACCATGTGGTTGCTGGGAATTGAACTCAGGACCTTTGGAAGAGCAGGCAATGTTCTTAACCTCTGAGCCATCTCTCCAGCCCTTACAAAGTTTTATATACATATATATGCACACACATTTATTTAACGATGATTTGCTATCAACTGGAGAGTATTTTTAAAAGTGCATTTTGTTAATGGCTAATGTAGACTTAAATGGGAATAGATGAATCTGAACTTCGGGCTATTTTTTTCTTTTATTGGCAAAGAAGGAAAGAAGAAAATTCATATTGGGAGAGTCTCATGACCAAAAAGGTGGCCCTAAAAACGCAATTATCCCATCAAACATTGTAATATAATTTTGAAAACACAACATAATTTATAAGGTTAATTATGAAATTATAATTTTAAAAAGTGTGGAAAGTTGGTTTCAGATTCATACCTTTGCTCTGACTACAAGGCTAGGCATTTTGTTGAACTTGATCGACACAGAAGGACTTTTTGGCAGTACTGAGCTGTTCCCAGAATACATAGCCACAACTGCCCCTCGTGCTACCAGTCCTTTAGTGACAAGACACCTCTTCCTTCAGAAATCAGTGAGTTGCTCAAGCAGCCCTGAAACCAAGGTCTTAAAAAGCTTAAAAAGTCTTCTGGTTTAAACCAGACTTTGCTGGTGGCGTCTGCTTTTAAGCAGCTTCACCCTGTGATCCTGAACTCCCAGTAGGTGTTGAGATTTTGACTCACCAGGCTCTGGAAGCAATCAAGAGATCCGATTGTTTCCAGCAGTCATTTAAAAATAGAGCCCGCCCAGATGTCACCATGGCCTCAGGTGGCAGTGCAGGCCGTTCGGATTAGTATGGCCCCAGCAACAGCACGGGCCCTTGGACATCAACATGGCCCCAGGTGGTGCACAGACTTCGGGCACTGGCACGACATTTGGTGATGTCACGCGCCATGAACCTCAACATAGACCCCAGGTGCAGTAGAGCCATGGACTCACACATGGCCCTCAGCTGCAACTCGGGTCTTGATGTTAGCATGGCCTGAGGTGGCAGTGCGGGTCACTAAGAATTGTATGGCCTCGATGGCAGCATGGCCCTCAGGCAGTGAAGTGGATGCTGACCTCATCCTAAGCACCCGCACGGCTTTCGGTGGAGGTCCGAATGGCCAACTCAGCTACCATCCAGGCCCATATCCAGGGCTTGGAGTTGGCCTACCCCAATATCTACCCCATCTATGACCTGCTAGAGAGGGCAAAGGACTGGTTCTGCTGAGCCATACATAACCACAAGGTCTCCATGACTAGGGGCAGCAGCAATATAGTAAAGTTTCAGTGAGGGTCCAGTATCGATGGTGTACCAGAAGTCAGAGGCTTTGAACCAGACTTGTTGGTTCAACTCATTGCAATGAACATTTGCAAGTAAAGCTGTTTGGGCAAAAAGTAGACTTTGTGACTCGCCTCAGCTCCCAGGTTACTACGACAAAGAATATATGATGGAGAGGTAGAAAAGACGGAGGAGCACAATGTTTTCATTTTATTGGGGTGGGAGAGACTACAAGAGTGTAGGGAGCACATGGAAGGACCGGGAAATGAGCGGGATTGGGATGCATGATACGAAATTCTCAAAGAATCAATGAAAACTCTATGTGAAAAAAAAGTAGAGCCTGGGAAACCTTCAGTAACATTCCTAGTCCATGTGCACACGAGGTAATTTTGTCTTTGGATTTCTCTGGAATGTATCGAAGGATGTGAGAAATGGGGAAAGTTTCCATTTACTCCCTATCAACTGACTCAAGTCAGTGCTCTTGATGCTTTCTAGCTATTGGCCTTAACTGAGAGGATGTTAGGAAAAACAATTGTTTGGGAAAGCTCCAAGGACGTGAGGAAAAGCAACTGTTTGGAAAAGTTCCAAGCTACCTCTCAACAATAACCGCCCCCCCCCAAGTAGCCAGTATTTATGAATAGGTGTGTTCTTTTCAAAGGTAAACTTAAGTCAACTTTAGCATCCCTAGTCTCCCGGGAGCGGTAACTTCTTTGATTATTATTACCACTTTAACTTCCAGAAAAAAAAAATTTTTTGAACAAACTCTTGCTTCTGAACCAAAAGGAGGCAACTGTCTCTTCACAATTCAACAGTAACGATGCGCCCAAACTCACGTCTCTGTAGTATGAAGTTTCGGAAAAGCGCTTGGGTGTCTCAGTTTTTCAGAAAACGATTTTCGGGAGCTAGAGGGGGTACTGCGTAGACAGACTGAGGTCAGCAGCACGCACTGCAACGCCGGGCAGTGACAGGCCCGAGGCGACCCACCCGGATTGGCCTGCAGTTATTTTCTGCACTTTTCTCTGTATTAGTCCCTCCAATCTGTTCTCACCTCATCTGGGCAATTTTCAGCACAAAATGTCCTTCTACGGAGCGGTGAGAATAAACCTGACTTTTCTGAGGACGTTCAAGCACCTAACTACGACGGCGGGGCAGAGAAAAGGTCACACCCCAACTTCGTAAGCTTCCACTTGCGTGCAAAGGCTGAGATAAAAAGCGCGCGTGAGACCCAGCAGCGCAGTGCGCGCTGGGAAAAGGGACACAGGCCCCGCCCCCGCCGGGTGGGCGGCTGCCCGCAGCCTTAACCTTCACAACTCTCAGGCTCCGGGCTCCGCCTACTTTGGGCTTCACCCACCTTAGGCTCCGCCTGTCTCGCGCCTCTGTTCTAGGCTCCACCCACTTTAGGGCTCTTCCTGGCCCCGGCCGCCTCAAAACTTTGGCTGCCCCCTCCCCGGGTTCCACCCACTTCAGGCTCCGCCCCTAAGCCCCGTAGGCCTTCGCCTCGGCTTCCCCCCCAGGCACCACCCACCTCAGGCTCCGCCCCTTAGTCCCGTGGGCCTCCACCCCGGCTTCCCCAGGCTCCATCCACCAAGGCTCCGCCCCTTAGTCCCGCTGGCTTCCGCCTCGGCTTCCCCAGGCTCCACCCACCCTAGGCTCCGCCCTTTCATTCCTCTGGCCTCATTCGCAGCTTCTCCAGGCTCCGCCCACCACGGACTCCGCCTTTTGGTCCCGCCCGCCTCAAACCTTCGGCTGCCCCGAGCTCCACCCACACTAGGCCCCGCCCCTTCATCCCGCTTGCCTCGGCTTCCCGAGGCTTCCCTCGTCGGGCTCCGCCTCCACGGCACGCCCGCCTCGGCCCCGCTGTCCACCTTGGGCCTACCAATCTTGGCAGCACGGAGGATTGCGGGAAGTCGTGTGATCTCGCCGTTCCGTCCTCTCACTTCGGGTTGTGGCTTAGGTTAAGCACGATCCGCGAAACGGAGCAGCGCCATCGTGGACGCACACCCCACAGCAGGCGGCCGGACAGGGCTGCTGGGCGGGGCGGTGGTGAGGAGGGCGCGGGAGAGGCGGGCCGAAGCCCCCAGCCCGCTCCGCCAAGGGAGAAGCTGGGTTGCGCAGTCCCGCCCTCCACACCTCTGCCCTCTGTGTCCCCACAGCTGCCGGGGGCTCGCAGAGCTCGAGCTGCCCGCGATGCCCGCTCTTGGTTTCTGCGTTTTCCCTCCCACGTGTACATCGATCTTGGTTGTGCGCGAAGGCTGACCGGGCTTCAAGGCATCCTGCCTTCTAGGAGTGGGCCGCCTGGTTTCTCCCCCAGGCTTGTTTCTGCTGTTGCCCAGCACCTATCAACTGTGTTTCCCGTGGCTCTCAGTCTCTGCCCTACTCCTCCTCTCTCATTGCTTCGACGCTAGCGGAGTTTTCCCGAACAGGTTTCAACCCTACGTAGACGTCAGGCGCTTCTAAGAGCGAGCGAGTCCATTCAAAGCGGTTTTTAAAAACACTGATGTAGTTAGCACATGTGTATTGGTGATTTGCCTGCATGACGTACGTGGGCCGTATGCTTACCTGGTGCCTGCGGTGGTCAGAAGACATCGGATCTTCTGGAACTGGGATTATAAATGGTTGTAAATTATCATGTGGCTGTTGGGGAACCGAACCCTGGCTTGACGCGCACCCCGGACCCTCGTCTGCACTCTAAGCTCTAGAATCCAGTTCGCGAGCTTCGAGCAAGGGGCTGGAGGTTGAGGAAACACAGGCAGAGACAGACCAACACAGGGACCACCAATCACTGGTACAAAGGCCCTGTTTAATAGCACCGTGGAGGCTTAAATACCCTGCAGTCAATGACCAACAGGTGAAAATCCCATCCTCTGATCCTCTAGGCAAAGCACAGCTTTTAGTAACTCCAATTAGAAGGCCCTAGTAGGGAAGAGCAGCTGAAGGTCAGGAACTCAACTGGTCCCAACACTGACCCTCTGCAAAAGTGTTCTTAACTGCTAAGTCATTGAACGCTATGTCAATCTATAAAGGTAAGAACAAATACCCTGTTTGCACTTCATTCTCCTAAATACCCAAAGGAGGGTTTTTGCTTGTTTGTTTGTTTGGTTTTTGTTTTTTTGTTTTTTTGTTTTTTTTTTTTGGTTTTTCGAGATAGGGTTTCTCTATAGCTTTGGAGCCTGTCCTGGAACTAGCTCTTATAGCCCAGGCTGGCCTCGAACTCACAGAGATCTGCCTGCCTCTGCCTCCCGAGTGCTGGGATTAAAGGCGTGTGCCACCGACCGCCCAGCTCTAAAGGAGCTTCTAATGATATAGATGGTGTATGATAAACTGCACACACTTAAAGTGCACCATTTGCTAAGTCTTTTGTGCATGCATTAATCAAAATCAAGATTGCAAACATATCCATCATTTTCAAAATCTCGTTACAATTTTCTCTGACCATTCCCACCTGTTCTTACTCCCAGCACCCAAGTGAAAATTAAGCTTTCTGCCCTTGGATTAATTTGATCACAATATATTATTCTCTGTGTTATATTATTGGATTCTTTCGGTAAGATTTTGTTTAGAAGTTTTGCATATATATATATATGTATGCATATATATGTATATATACATACACACATGAGATATGGGTCTATAATCTTGAGTTGGATGTCTTTTTATCCAGTTTTCCGACCAAACAGTGAGAAACCATCCCCTCCATAGGTGACATTTGAAAGAATTTTTAGAACTCACCCAGTGCACACAGGAAGTACCCATGTGTATCAAATAGGTCTGGTGTCCATACAAGAGATTTGGACAAGGTTCAATTCCAGTGAGGACAGACAGCCTATTAGAATTCCTGAACCGGCTTCAATTCAACATGGGTTTATTAAAATGTGAATGCGTTGCTGCTGTTTCTTCAGGGTGGAGGATTGATTGACTTCCCTGTTCCTGAGAGTGAAGATGAACCCCAACCTGAACAAATGGTTCAGATTTAGTGAAATTGCGGGCAGATGCCCGTGGCCTTGGAGCTGATCTGCTCTATTCCAGAGGAGAAAATGCAGGAGTGTTTGCCCGTACCTCCTTTTATCTTACTCCACTGTGGTCAAGGCTGTGGGCAAACTTAGAGGCTTTCCTCCTGGACTCTGCTTTTAGCAATGCTATAGATCAGATTTATCTGACCAGCTTAATGAAGTTGGTTCAGTTCCAGGATGTGTTTTCCATAATGGCATATGAACAGAATGTCCTTATAATCTCCAAATTTACACAGAACCAAAAGTAATTAAGAATTAATAGACTCTTTACTTATATCAAGTATATTGCTCTGGTGCTTTTTTTTTTTTTTTTTTTGAGACAGGGTTTCTTTGTGTAGCCCTCAGCTGTCTCTCTGTAGAACAGGCTGGCCTCGAACTCATAGAGCTCTGCCTGCCTCTGTCTTCCAAGTGCGGGGCTTAAAGGTGTGCGGCACCATCACCAGGCATCTCTGGTGCTTCTAGTATTAAAGTGAGGAACTTGTGGAATCATCCTTCTTAGAATAAAACCGTGACAGCTAAATCTTAAAGTATGTTACTTGCACTACTTCTGACTGATCCTCGCCGTCCGTACTCAGCGGTTGTCAGGGTGACATGTTTTCTGCAGGTTTTATTTTGGGGGCACTGATGAACCTTTATTTGTTCCTGTAGATCCATAGTATTCTGAGTGAGTTTTTAAATTCTCTGGTAGTTGTAATTTGTGGAATATTTATTTTTGACTCTCTGAAAACTTTCATCTTAATTTTCAGTGAATAATAACCAAATGTTTCTCCTAATAGTTACTAAGAAGGTAGAC